ATTTTGCATGGTATTTAATTTACTTGCTCGATATTGGAAAAATTATTTTTTTTTACCTTCATTACTCTTATTTTAATAATTATTTTGTTATTATTACTGCTGTGTTTATTTTACCCATTTCGTGTATCAAAAAAAAGTGATTTGTCTTGGGATTAAACTCACAGTTTTTGAGTTTTTGACAAGTATATATTTTTTATGGCATAATCGTAGTAACTCGTCATAGATTAACAAAACCGCCAATGTAACCACAAAATTAGATGTTTTTTTTTGTGACAGAACATAGTTTTTAGGTAAAATTTGGTATAATCAAAATCATGTTTATTGTTATTCTTTAGTATTTTTGTGTGGTTTTTATAAATTGTTATTGTCATCATATTATTATCTATAAGCTATTATCAAAATTTGACAATGTTAACTCAAAAATTGTGGATTCGAACCCGGGTTAGAGCAACTTTTTTTTCTGATTTGGATAAAATAATGAAAGTAGTATAATGATAACACAACAATTAATAAAATAAGAGGAATTAAGTTCTTTCAATTCTTTTTTCAAATCAAAATATTTATTAAATAAATGCACTTTAAGAGATTTTTTAACATTGTTGAAAATTTAGTGAAGAAAATTGCATTCAAGTGTGAAAAAAATGCAATTTTGCAATTAATTTGCATTAATTGAAGTTAATTACTTATTTTTGTACATATAATAAAAAACAGATAATTACTTAATAGTATGCAGTCGTGTTTTAAGTTTTAAGTAAGTCATGGCAAGCTAGCTAGAAGTGTTTTCAAGTGGCTTTTATCCATTTTTCACATACATTCCCAACGAAATTTAATCAAAAAAAAGTCGAATTTTTAAAATTCCCTCAAATTTAAATATCTAACATCAGAATTTGAATAATTCAAAAATGTATCCACTGAAGAAACTTATGTAAATTGTAAGTGATCAAAAGATTGTTTTAATTTATAACGACCTAAAGGCCAACACCTGTCCTGGAATGAGGGTATAATAAAAAACTCATTATTCGACCATTAGCATACATTTTTGCAAAAATCTCTGTTGATTGTACTTTTTTGTATAATACGTTCCCAAAAATAACCATTTTACGGACAGTCTTTTTTTGGAAAAATGTAACATGTGTTACTCATCTGCTCGGCTATCGCCTCACCCGGAAAACTGTATTTTAGGTACTTGTAACAAAAATATCGTAAAAAGGTGAGTTTTTATTATGAAATTTGCAATTTGGTTCACCCGTCGGAAAAGAAACAGTTGGCTATGACCAGAAATAATCAATATCTGTCAATTTAAGCCAACATTGAAAATTTCGTAAAAAATCGCTTCGCCTTGTGTATTTTTAATTAATACGTGAGGCTAATTACAACTTGTCCGTGTTTGAAATATGTGATTATTTTTTATTTTTATGATACTTTTAAATCGTTACATCGTAGCGTAACCACGTTGATACGTGTGTGGTCTACGATATTGTTTATTTTTTTTTATTTGTATAAAATAATGTAGACGTCGGTAATGATCGTGTTAAAAGAGGGGATGACACCGTGACATTGCATGATAAATTCGCTTTTTTCCGAAAAACCCACAAAATGTTGCGCTCTCGACCCTCGCGATGATTAATTATGTAGCGTTTGTGGGCCCCTCGAGAAACAGGTAGTGTGTTTTCTTACAGCGAGCAGTTCGGGGGATCCATGCCCCTTATCCCGGTCCTGGCGCTCCTCCAGTTTGACGACCAACGACTCCACTAGATTATAATCAACAGCACAGAACTACACAGTGAGCACTCGAAATGATCGGCGTCGGCATTGCCGCGAAAAATACCAAATAAGAAAGCGAACTAATGCATACATTCATGGGATTTGATTGAAACTGACTTAATTCGAGCGCCACTTGCCATCGGTGTTCCCCCTGCTGCCTTCCACAACCCCACCGCGCATACATAAATATTACACTATAATTTACGGTTTTTTTTTTGTTTTATTTTGCTTCGTTGCCCTCCTCTATCAGGGCGGCCATGCATCCGTAAAACCCGCCCAGTTAATAGCACCCTCAATTATCTCGAAACGGCTGCCATCTATGGGCGAAAGGGGGGAAATGGGTCGGGAAGTGCGGAGGTGCGACGGTAGATGGAGGCTGGGAGCGAGGGCGAAGGCGATGCGATGGGAAGCTTCAAAGTTTCGTTTTTCAATGAAAATTAAATAAAAATATTTTTTTATAAAAAAAATTTTTTTGTTGTTAAAACTCACAAATTTACGCTATCACGTGATGGGTAATAGGAATAAGAAAATTATTTTCAAAAATTGTACGTTCGATCCCGGGTAAATGCAACTTTTTTTTCTATATTTGTTAAAAATAATTAAAATTAAATTAAAACCGCCATTAAAGCCGACCATTTCATTGAATAAATTTAATTTAAAATTGAAATTACGATTTTTTTTAATTTTAATATACTAAATAATGTCTGCTAAAATTAAGAATTAAGGCCTATTTCGATGCCCAAATCTGTATTTTTGTTCTCGAAACCCACAAATTAGCGCTATCAAGTGATGGGTAATGGAAATACGAAAATTATTTTCAAAAATTGTAGGTTCGATCCCTGGTAAATGCAACTTTTTTTTCTGTATTTGTTAAAAATAATTGAAATTAAATTAAAACCGCTGTACCTTTGCGATCATTTCATCGAATAAATTTAATTTTAAATTGAAATTACGATTCTAAGATTTTGAACTCTGTTTTTATCGATTTTTTTTAATTTTAATATACTAAATAATGTCTGCTAAAATTAAAGAGATATTATTTTCATTAAGTACATATCTTATTTTTATGCAATT